ATAAAAAAACTCTCTCAGTAGGAGTTGCTCTTTTAAAGCATAACCCTGGCCATGCTGTCGTCACTCAGCAAACATGGTGGACGCAACGATGTCACTCCTCCCGCTGTGGCCTCAAAAGATGTGTTTTTCCAGCGCATCCATAAACTATTTTAATATGCCCCTTAAAGGTGATTATTTTAGCTTTTATATTTTGTTTTGTAATTCAATTTTGTGAAATGCATTAAGTAGTTCTATTGGAATTGATATGTCACTCCAATTAATCATAAATTAATTGGATAATAACTCCAAAACTAATGTATGCGATTAACTTGAAATATTAATCCTGTTAAAAAAATTAACACAATTACCGCGGTTGCAGTTTGTTTATGTTTTTTTCTTGATTTCTGTGTGTTCAACATGCAAAGAAGTATTGGTAAGACCAAGGAAGCACTTAATGTCACAGTCTGTTATATTTATAACTTTTCACCCATTTTTCCTCATGTATTTACTTCTGCCTTGGTCATGTGATCAGAGTTCTGTCACATGTTCACTCATTCTGTTTACCCTCAACGCACAACTTCCATGTGACTATACTGAGTTTGTGAACAAAGACTGGTCATTCAGTTTAGTTTATTCCCCCTCTTTTGGAGAGGTCTTTTGTTATTTGGGTTTTTTATAACAGGGTTTTTCTGTTTCCTGTAGTGTTTATGATTTTACTTGAGTTTCATCCATAAACTATAATAAATCTGGCTTTTTGATGGTTTCTTGTAGGTATGTTGTTTACATAAGAAAATCAATGTTACAATGTTATATTCTTACAATAAGAAAATTACAATAATTCAAATTTTGAATTTAACCATTGAGTATTGACATTTTACATGTCCAAAAAGTTTAGCGAATTTGCGGTAACATGATTTTTAGCAAGCTCATTTCCTTTTTTTTCTCCAAGTACATGTATTTTCTAATGCCAAACATTTAATTAGTGTAATGAATGTTGTATCCTTGGTTGAAATAATGCAACATTGCTGATCATTACACATAGTTACTAAAAGTGATGGTCTCACCCATGAAACTGGTGAAGCAAGTTACAGCACAGTAGTGGATTGCAGAGATTGAAATTGGTTCAATATAAAAAAATAGCTTTGATGTAGTGAAACACTTTTACCATGTTTCTGTAGATTAGCTTGCTACATTTCTCAGGGTAGCAGCTTCAGTGTAGTGAAGATGCATTCAACAGCGAGACATTTTCCAGGTACGTTTTCTACTGATAATCTCATGCAGAGATCCTCATTGATAAAAAGATGCGTTCGACTGACATTCAGTTTAAATGAACATGCAATCAACCAATAGCAAGATCTTAATAGCAAAAAAAAGATTTAAAATGAAAAAACATACTAATAAATCAGATCATGTATGAGCATTTTATATATTTATATTTAAAAGTTTCCAATTACTTTAACTCAGATTTCTTTTAGTTTTGCTGTTTTATGTGTTCTTAATTGGGAAAATAATTGGAGGAAATTTCTTCCAATTTTTTTAGCTTGCCAAAAAATATCAAGCGGCGTTGCTTGCACCAAATTAAGATGATGACAGAGGACTGATGAAAGACATTTAAAACCCTCACTGACACGAATGTGAAAACCATAGTGCTTACAAATCAAATGCGTTTATAGCTTGGAATGACGCAATATTTCCCATGGTAAGACTTATTCACCAGACAGTATTTGCTCTCATTAAATTCAAAGAATGAAAAAGCTCTCTAGTGGCTTGTTAAACGTTGATTGAGTCATGCTTACAACTTGTTTGAAAAGAATACGTTTTCAGAGAACTTTTTCTTTTGAATCACGAGGGTTAACAGTTTATGGAGGGAAATCGGGGTTGTAAGGCTAAAATGACATCTTTAATCAATAGAAAAGTCACACCACAAAGTATTCATTAAAGTATGGACCAGGGGTCAACAACCATTTCCATCAAAAGAGCCTTTTGGATCAAGTTTTCACCAATAAAAACTACCCACAAAACAACTATCCTACTTTTAACAGTTGAGCAGAGCAGTTCTAAAATAACAGACAAACACGAGGAGAGCTATATTCTGTAATACTTCATAAACTCGTAAAAATGATGAGTTTTAAGCATAAATTCGAAGGCCAGAAGAGTGTTTAAAGGGTAGTCTCCCTCCATCTTCTCAATAAGAATTATCACATTGCACATCACCTTAGCACCTATTATTAAGTGTTAGTAGAAGCTACAAAACTATTTTTATCAAAATATATTTTCCTACACATTCGCTGAAATACATAGCTGTCTATGAGACAGGATCACTTAAGGGCCGTCTGCAAAGTACCAAACGTAAATTAGGTTTGTCCAGAAAATGGTTGAAAAAAAGGCCATTTTGACAAAAAAAAAAAGCCACCGCTTACTTGTAGATAACTACAAAGCTCATTTTGATAAAATATCGAAACATTTATTCGAGCATAGTTTTTTTATTGATTAATTAAAGTACGATAGCTCCCATATAACTGCCACTAAATTCTTGATCATTAAATCTAAATCACTGTTCTAATGCTTTTATTTCATTTTTCAGTCTCTTCTCTAATAATTGGCATACTTTATTTGACCCCCGTGTTCTCTATGCTTGTTTTAAATGTAATATTATTTTCTTTTTATAGCAATGGACATATAAATATGTGAATTGTATTTATTCACAGAAGTTATGTCGGTATGGAAGTTATGTATGGAAGCTTTATGTCTCTTTGGGTGGTGAGAGATGGCGAGGAGAGGGGATGAAGGGGTGGCATTGGGAATGTTCGTCAAAGGCACCAAATAGGCTTGAACCGCCCCATACCGATCATCAGGTATGTCCGGGGTTACACGAACAGTCAAAAAGATGTGAGTTCCTTCGAAAATAGATTTACTGCTGTTTTGAAGTCTCACAAAATATTGATTTGCTTGAGATAACACTTCCATAAAGAATTTTTGCACAGCACTGTACATACTTGCACTCTCACGGCCATTTTATTAGGTAGCCTTAATCCTTCATGGCATAGATTCAACAAGGTACTGGAAACCTTCTTCAGAGAGTTTGCTCCATATTCTGCATAGTTCAAGAAACCAGTCTGAGATACTGATACTGATATTCTGATACTTCGTACTGATATTAGTCATCAGAAGACGGGTACACTGTGGTCATAAATGTTGCTCAATTGGTACTAATGAGCTCAAGAAAACATTCCCCACACCATTACACCACCACCACAAGCCTGAACCGTTGATCCCAAAGGCAGGATGGATTCATGTTGTTGACTCCCAAGTCTGACCCTACCATCCGAACATCACACCAGAAACTGAGATTTATCAACGTTTTTCCAATCTTGAATTGTCCAATTTTGGTAAACCTGTGCATATTGTTGCCTCAGTGTCCTGTATTGTCTTCCCCTGATGCTTGGTACAAATTGATGCTTAAAGGGGTGGCTGCGATGTGATTCGCTGATTAGAAATTTGGATTAATAAGCAGTTTGACAGGTGTACCTAATAAAGTGGCCAGCGAGTGCATATAGAAACATCGAGGAAGCCTGTATGTTGTTTATATTTATATATTATTTCACAACTTAGAAGTGAACCTCTCTCTCTCTCTCTCTCTCTCTCTCTCTCTCTCTTGCGCTTTCTCAAACACAAAGATCCATGTTGAACTGCTGGTTTATGCAGCAGTGCCAGCGATAGTTGGAAAACATCCTCAGAGTGGTGTCCATGCACAAGTGTGGCCTGTCTCTCTGCGTCTGCTGGGCTGTCTGACACTGCATGCTAATACTCTATGTTCTGCTTATGCCCCAATTGTAGTTTGTTGGTCCGAGAGACAGCTGCATATGCATAATGCATGAGAAGTATGCTTTCTCAGACTATGGCAGGTGCAGTGTACAGCAGAAGAAAGCAGTGGCATGTTATGACAGGTCAGAGGGTGTCATTAGGCTCAGGTACTATGGATTATGACAGTGTGGAGCACAGTATGTGGTGCTGGTGAAATTCAGATGTTACAAATATCAGAAACAACGTAATCTGATTGGTAGAGTGATGGGTATGCATGATATTTGGTTGCAGTGTTTATTTCTAGTTCAATATCAAAGGGCACTTGCACCTCGGGCACTAGTAACTATGACCGGTTTTAATCTAAAATATTATGAAAACTAGAACATATAATGTCATGGCCAACAGGTGGCGCTAGAGAATGGTTCTGTTATTGTTTTGTACAATAATCTTATCACACGTCAAAATTGGTTAAATATAAACAGTGGAGTTGGGAACCATTAGCCATTAGACCGAGTTATAACTACTTCCTGTTTTAGGGTGTCATAGTTCAGTAGACCACCAAGCTCATACTGTTCAACAAAGTGAAAAAATCTTAGAAATGTAACATTGCCGATGCCTCCAGATGAGACTACCGGAGTTTGAGGTGATCACATGAAATCTCTAGGAAGACTTCTTTAAAGTACAGGGTCTGGAATTGTACTTTTTAAAGGAAATGCTAAATACCCGACTTCCTATTGGTTTTGGAAACCTGGTCCAATTGACTTTTTTTTTTTTGTATGTCTCGGTCCCTTACCAAAGTGTTCCAAATTGGAAACATGTCCTTCCAACACATGCTGAAATAGCAGTATAAAACGGTCCGAAAACACAGATAGAGTTTGGAGTTGAATAGATAAAATCTCTAGGAGGAGTTTGTTAAAGTATGACATGGGCAAAAGTGGCCATTTTAGAGGTGTTTGCAAGATAACCAACTTCCTGTCGATTTTGGAAACGCAATCCATATTACTTATATTTAAGTCTTGGTACCCTACACATGTGTGACAAGTTTCATTTATCTATGACAAACTGTTAGCGCACCATAAGCTGAAATGTGTTAGGTTGCACTATAGAGACATTTTGAACCTCAAAAATGCCACGAAACTAATGATTAATAATTTATTGCATTTTGGGTAGGAGCTACTGAAATATTGAACTTAGGTTAAGTGGTTAATAGGTTAAGTGTGCCTATGGCTCAGTTGGTAGAGCATTGCGCCAACAATGCAAATGTTGTGGGTTCAAATTCCCCAGGGAAAGCAAGAACTGACAGAAAAAATATGTTCATTCAAATGTAAGTCGCTTTGGATAAAAGCGTCTACCAAATGCATAAATGTAAATGTAAGTGGGTTTGGGTGAATGAACGTCTTCCTAAATGAGCTTAGAGCCTGACAAAGAACAGTCAAAGTCAATTTTAAGCCGTTTGTTGGTTACAGAAAACAGGGTGATTTGCTAATAATTGTAACTCCTGATTTGGTAGACGTGATTCTGGTTTTCAATCTGGACAGAGAAAGCAAAAAAAGGCATCTGCATTAAAAAGTAATTAACTTATTTAACTATTTGTAGATAAATGTGCTGTTAATAAAAATGGACCCATTCAAACAAATGTTTAGATGATAATTGGTTAAGTGCTCTTTGTTTGTTGCAATGGTGCAAACAACCTTTTAAAATCTCTTAACGGGAAGCTGCTCAAGAAGCTGCTGAGAATTAGCTCAAACTGACACAAACAGACACAAACGCATTTGTCCGCAGGCTCCCTGCAGCAAGTGCAGGACATCAAACGATGCTCTGCATGCAATGCGATGCTCACATTCATATAAGATTCATAAGACACATCGAAGGGTAATCAAATACATGAGGCTTTCCAGTACAGGAGCCCTCCGAATAAATCCCCACACATTTTTAATCAATTATTTAAAACATAAAACTGTCAGCATCAATGATGAGTGATAAAAGATTAAATTATTCTTGGACTTTTTTAAGATCTGATATTTTTGCTCAAAGGACGAGTCTGGAAATGTGAGCTAAAGAAAATATATATACTTGCTGTAAATGTAAGTAGCTTAAATTCAAAATGCCACTCAGAGAATGAGAATAAATCTGTATAAAATATCTGTTAGAATGTTATAATCAGCTTTTTTAATTTTTACAACAAATCTTTGGTGTGTTGGATAGTGTGAATAGACTGCTAGCACTGCTAAGTTAAACCATGCAGGATTTAATGTTGCTCAAACAGAGTTGTTTTCAGATGGGTGGGGGGGGGCACTTTTGCTCAGATAAAACCGTGTATAGATGAGTCTCTGTCTGGTGAAGACTGCATCCTTAACCGATTACTTAAAAAAAAAATAAACTGGTTAATTATGAACCATCCAAAACATGGTTCAAAACATGCAAACACAGCTCATTAATATGCATGAGAAACTATCCAATCCATGAGTGGTTTTGTGATTATGCTAAAACGTCATAAATATAACCTCATAAAGATGGTTTGGATTGGGACGCAACACAGCTGGACTTTTGAAGGAGGACTCTCCGTGCGTGTTTTAATACCTGATGACCTAACCCCAACCCCCCCCCCCCACCACCACCACCACCTGTCTGCAAAGGCAACATATCACTAAATGTCCGGAAAATACATCTTATCAACACTAGTTGCAAACAGACTGAAATTGTACATGAAGTTATGCCTTATTTAGACACTAAATAAGGTGTCTGCCCTTTGGCTCTGGAGACCCTTCTCCTTCACACACCTCCAGTCTTCTCCGTTCTCAATGCAGTAGGTTGTTAGTTAAACAATGCCACTTTTTAAATTATTTCTTAAACCTTGTGTCCAGAGTCTTTTGTACCGGGTTATGAATACATTTTCAATAACAGAATAGACCGTACAAAAATTAAGTTAGTGAGCAAGTTATCTCATAGCTGATTCCACAAGGCAGAAAACTTTTGTAATCTTGCAGAAAATCTTAAATCTTTAATTCTGGGATGGCGGAGGTTCTGCAGAAATCTGCTATAGGGAAACTTTATACTGAAAGAAGAGCTGCACTCAAAACATTTACAATGATTCCCCTTCAGGAACAAATTGGCCAATTTTTCATTCCATGCCCTTTAGCAGCCTCATCTTTTTCAGCTTTTTATATTTATTTTCTTATTTCAGACTATAGCCAGTATTCATCTCTGCCGAGGAGACAACCACGCAACTTTTATTTAGATCCAGCCAGACACAGCCCACACTCTGTCAAAGCCCATCTCTTGAGAAGATCCGGAAGCTCTTCTGGACGCTCTTTCTAGGACTAAATGAGTGCTTGGGAATGCAGTTCATGATGAATGATAAACAGAATCAATCAATCAATCAATCTTTATTGATATAGCCCTTTACAACACCAGTGGTGCCCAAAGTGCTTTCCAATTAAAAACAGAAAAACAAGAATATTAAAAACAGAATATTGTACAGAATAAAACAATGTAAAGTATAAACAGTAAAACATAGTGCAAACGTGTCACAAACTACTAAGTATTAAAAGCCATTTTGAACAAATGTGTTTTGAGCCTAGATTTAAAAAGGTTCAAATCAGTGATTTTACGTATGTCAAATGGTAAATTGTTCCACAGTCTGGGACCAGCCACAGAAAAAGCTCGATCACCCCAGTGTTTGAGTCTGGCTCGGGGTACTTTCAAAAGAAGTTGGTTGTTTGACCGTAAAGTGCGACTTGATGTTCAAACAAATAAAAACTCGGTCAAATAACAAGGTGCTAATCCATTAAGAGCTTTAAAAACAAAAAGTAAAATTTTAAAATCAATTCTAAAAGAAACTGGAAGCCAATGAAGTGTAAAAAGGATTGGGGTGATGTGCTGACGTCTGGGTGTGTTGGTTAAATAGCGAGCAGCAGCATTCTGCACAAGCTGAAGGCGACTGACCGCAGTTTGAGAAACACCGACATAAAGTGCGTTGCCATAGTCTATTCTAGAGCTAATAAAAGCATGAATAGTCCTTTCAAGGTCGGTTCAATTTAAAAAAGGCTTTACTTTAGATAAAAGGCGTAACTGATAAAAACTAGCTCTCACAACACTGTCAATCTGTTTATCGAATTTGAAGTTGTTGTCAAAAATAACACCAAGGTTCCTGACTGTCGATTTTAATTTTGATGACATCCAATCAAAATCAGAAGAAGGAGAATCACCAAATAAAATGTATTCTGTTTTGCCTTCATTCAAATGAAGGAAGTTTTGTCCTAACCACAACTTTACATCTCTGATGCAGTCAGTTAATGACTGAAGAGCATTCTTTTTATCAGGAAACACAGGTAAGTAAATCTGTAGATCATCTGCATAGCAGTGAAAGGCAAGATTGTGCTTCGCTATAACTGACCCCAGTGGCAACATATACAAAGAAAATAAAACAGGGCCTAAGATAGAGCCCTGAGGCACTCCACAAAACAGCGAGGCTACAGAAGGGATGACAACAAGGTTATGTGAAAAGTCTTGCATACCAGTTTCTAGTAAAATACACTAAAACATATCTAACGCTGTGGCATGAACCAGAAATATACACAGACATGGAAATTACATTCTATACCATTGATTGTGACTGATGAACGTAATCTGAACATGTAAAGACTCAAAGTCAGAACAAACTTACAAGTGCGAGATGTGAGGAGTACTAGGGTCCACCTCTTTGGCTTAAATACCAGATGACTGTTGCAGGTGACACCAAAACACCACTGTAACACCATGGTCCCCAGGGTTGGCTTTGGTGGAGGAGGTGGAACAGTTGGCCAGTCAGCTACAAAACTGATTTGGTTATTGCCCATAAGAGAGGCCATCTTCATCTCCCAATTTCATTAGCAAAGAAATAGCACCAAAGGGTATGTCCTTTAAACAATAAATAAAAATATATTTGCCTTAAAAAATGTTCCCTATTCCAGCAAAACCATATAATATCCTTCAGGCTGCAGCAGAGTCTATTCAGTCAAGCTGGAGAACTGTAGGAAATGATAAGCTGAGCAAGCTTCGAGGCCAAACAATTTGTCTTTAACACACAAGCTTTCACATCTGAGAGTGTGAAGGACAAGTTACTGTACCGTGCTCTGCAGAATCTCATACAAACCCCAATTGCAATGGCATTATGGGATAAATAATGTTCAAAGGATCATTGAAGGAAATTCAGATGTAATATTGACTACTGAAAAATGATCATCGCTTGAAAAGCCAGAATATTGGTATTTGTCTTTTGCTTCAGACAAAAAAAAATCTAAACATGTCGTCATCTCCTAGACCAGGGGTGTCAAACTTATTTTCACAGAGGGCCACATTAGCATAATGGCTGTCCTCAAAGGGCCAGATGTAACTTATAAATGTAGAACAATAATGTAAAATAAATGTAACTCATTATTTATAACTTATTCAAGTGACAATTCAGTTGCATAGAAACAATTGTCTGCTTGCTGTTCTATTATAAATCCTTTTGATTTTTGTCAGTTTATGAAAAGCCACATAACTCCATTAATAAAGAAAAATAGCATTTTTGTCATTTGTTTAGCGAAAAAAAAACCCTCACAGACTGCAGACGATGCATATCCATCATCATCTTTTATCATCATGCTCAAGAAACAGATCACAGAAAAACTATTAGCTGCTTCCATTTCACATCATGAAATTTATTTTAGCGTGAGAAATCAGAGGTGTGGCGTGAGAGATCACTCAAATGTGTTCAACGTGTGAGAGTTTGCAGCTCTGCAGTTTTACTCGTGAGTATGGATGTGTTGTGGCTAAAGGCATTGTGGGAAATGTAGTTTTTTTCGTTTTTGCTTTTTTAGACACTCAAAACTTTTAAGCTCTCGCGGGCCACATTAGATTACATGGCGGGCCACATCTGGCCTGCAGGCCTTGAGTTTGACACATGTTTCCTAGACCATTTAGACTACAGCCACCATTCAGAAAACATTTCAACTGGTCTGACTCAGGCTGCTATATCTTTTCAGACTAGAATCACGTAAGGAATTCTGGGAAATGGCTGATTAAAATGTTACTTGGACTTAATATGTGGTCAAACTTTGTAAAGCTGTAACTCAAATTGAGCATTTCATAAGAAACCTTTGTGGAGGTTACCAGTCAGCAAAAACATACCAACCACTGGGCAAAAAGCTCTAGAAAGGGTTAAATATTTACCTTTTCACTAACAATGGCCTTTGTAAATAAATGGTAGCAGGCTTAAATCAACAGGAACAGGCTTAACTTTTTTACACACGACTAAAAGCTTCTTA